TGTTCCCTGGACTTTGGACTTCCCAGCTTCAGAAACTGTAAGCAATAAATTTTGTTTTCTTACAAAGTACCTAGTTTCAGGTATTTTGTTATAAGCAACAGAAACAGATTAATACAGAAAATTGGTACCAGAGAAGTGGGGTGTTGCTTATAACAAATACTTGAAAATGTGGAAGCAGCTTTAGAACTGGGTGTTGAGGAGAAGCTGGAAGAATTTGGAGGAACAGACTAGGAAAAGCCTGGATACTGGTGAAAGTTTAGAAGACAAGAAAAGCAGGGAAGGTTTGGAATGTTTTAAAGACTGGTTAAGGGCCGGCCCGTGGCTCACTTGGGAGAGCGTGGTGCTGACAACACCAAGTCAGGGGTTCAGATCCCCTTCCTGATCATCTTTTTAAAAAAAAAAAAAGACTGGTTAGATGGTTGTGACCAGAATGCTTTATGGAAATATGGACTGTAAGGACCATAGTGAGGAAATCTCAGATGTAAATGAGAAAGGACTTATTGGAAACTGGGGCAAAGATCACCCTTGCTGTGAACTAGCAAGGAATTTGGCTGCATTCTGTTCATGCCCAAAAGTATTATGGAATGTGGAACTTAAAGATGCTGACCGAGGGTATTTGGCAGAAGAAATTTCTAACCAGCAAAACACTCAGGAAGCTGCGTGGCTACTTGCAACAGCCTACACTGAATTATGGCAGAAAAGGCATGACATAAAGCCAGAATGTATAATTGAAAGGGAACAGAACATAAAGATTTGGGAAATTTGCAGCCTGGCCGTGTCATGTGGTAGAGAAGCAGAGAGCATTTTCAGGAGAAAAATGCAATGGTACTGAGAAGATTAGTACCAAAAAAAAGAGATTATCAAGAGAAGGGGAAAAAGCCCTGAAGGCATTGCAGAAGCCTCTGGGAGTAACCCTTCTGTTACATGCCCAGAGGCCTAGGGAGACCGAATGGTCTCAGGGAACAGGCCCAAGGAGCCCTCCACAGGCTGCTCACTGCCAAGGGCCACCTTGGGATGCTGCTCCCTACACTAGCACCCTGGCTGCTATGGCTGCTCCACCCATGGCTAAATTGGCCTCAACTGTGTCTGGACCCACAGCTTTGGAAGCTGCAAACCAAAGCTGGTGGCGTCCACATGGTGGTGGGTCTGCAGGCTCACAGAACACCAGAGCTGTGGAGGCTTTGGAGCCTCCACCCTGATTTCAAAGGATGTAGGGAAAAGCCTGGGGCCCCAGGAAGAGCTGTGTCACTGGGGCAGATTCACCACATAGAGCCTTTGCCAGAACAATGCTGAGAAGAAATGTGGGGTCAGAGTTGCAGTAGAAAAACCCCACCAAGGCCATACCTAGTGGAGCCATGGGAGCAGGACTGCTGTCAAGACCCCAGAATTGTAGAGCTACAGTATGCAATGCCAACCTGGGAGAGCTAAAACATCACTGAAGACCAGGAAAGCCATAGAAGCGGAGCTGCCTGAGGCCTTGGGGACTCAACCTCCATACCAGTGTGCAGAGGATGTTGAACATGGAGTCAAGGTACATGACTTGTCAGCTTTGAGATTTAATGTCTGCCCAGCTGGGTTTCAGACTTGCTTCGGACCTGTTACCCTTTTCTTTTGGCCTCTTTCTCTCTTTTGGAATGGGAATGTGTACCCTATGCTTGTCTTGCCATTGTATCTTGGCAGTAGATAACTTATTTTGATTTCACAGATGGGACTTTGAAACTTTGGACTTTTGAGTTGAAACAAGTTAAGACTTTGGGGATGGAATGAATGTTTTTACCTGTGAGAAATACAGAAACTTTGGAGGCCAGGGGTGTCCCTTAAGTTTTATGTATTAGTGACTTGATCCCCACTGTGACTGTTAAGAGGGTGGGAAATCCTATTATGGTAATTGAAAAGTGGGACCTTGAAGTGATTAGATTCTGAGGACGATGCCTAGTAAATGGATTAAACGTGGTGGTCATAGGCCTGGTTCTGAGGGCACAAAAAGGAGAGTGCATGAGGAGCTATCTTTCTCTTTCTGCTCTGCCATTTTCTGCCACATGAGACCCCTGGATCACTGTTGCCACCACCAACGCCTTTACCAGATGTGTTCCCTGGACTTTGGATTTCCCAGCCTTAGAAACTGTAAGCAATAAGTTTTGTTTTCTTACTAAGTATTCCAGGTATTTTGTCATAAGCAACAGAAATGGACTAATATACATGCATTACATTTAGTTGTCATCTCCAATCTCTTTTAAACTGTTACGTTCTTTCAGCCTTTCATTGTTTTTCATGATTGACATTTTTTTGAAGAATACAGGCTTGTTATAGACTGTCCTTTAATTGTTTTGTTTCATATATTGATGCAGGTTACACATTTTTGGCAGGTAATGTTGTGTCCTCAGTGCCTCTCATCAGGAGGCATTATTGGTGATTTTGCTGAGAGATTTTTCTACTATCAAGGTAACTCTTTTCCCTTTGTAATTAATAAGTAATCTACGGGGAGATACTTCGAAACTATGTAAATATCCTGTTCCTCAGCAAATTTTTTCCAGTGGTTTTAGAGTCCTAAGGAGCATTTTTATATTATAAACATTATCAGGGTGGGGCTCTGTGTGTGGTTTTCCCACCTTGATTAAAGTTCCCTTAAGAAACTAGTTTGTGTGGCTGGGCCCGTTGCTCATTTGGGAGATGTAGTGCTGATAACACCAAGGCCACGGGTTCAGATCCCTATATAGGGATGGCTGCTTAGCTCACTTGGGAGAGCATGGTGCTGACAACACCAAGTCAAGGGTTAAGATCCCCTTACCACTTATCTTCTTAAAAAAAAAGAAAGAAAGAAACTAGTTTGTATTTTATTTTTTTAATTTTATTTTTAATTGAGAAATAATAATTGTATATATTTATCAGGTATAATGTGATGTTTTGATATATGTTTACATTATAGAATGATTAAATCAGGCTAATTAACATACTTATTTTTTGTGGTAAAAACATTTAAGGTCTATTCTTTTAGCAATTTTGAAATATACAATGCATTATTATTTATTATAGTCACCATTATGTGCAATAGATCACTAGAGCTTATTTCTCCTGTCTAAATGAAATTTTGTACCCTTTGATCAACAGCTCCCCTCTTCTAAGTCACCCCTCTCCCCCGCCTCTGGTAGCCACCATTCTACTCTCTACTTATATGACTTTTTTTTTTCTTTTTTAGATTTCACATAAAAGTGAGATCATGATTTGTCTTTCTGTGCCTGTCTTATTTCATTTAGCACAATGTCCTCGAGGTTCAGTTTGTGCATTACTTTAAAAATTATGTTAAAAAATTTTTATGTTGTAGTACCTTGTCAAAGTAAATATATTATTATTTTGGTGGCTGGCCAGTATGGGGATCTGAAGATGATATTACATATTCATATTAATGACATTCGGAAGATCATATGCTTGATATTACTGATTTGCCTGATGCCAAACTGCTGATTATATTTCTCACAGTGGATTCTGTCTTCCTACCCTGAGAAAAATTGAACAGATACTTACAGCAGAGTCCTGTGGTATGCAAATTAGAAACTGTCACTAATTAGACTGATTAGACATTCTTAGCAGGCCTCTCAGACCAGTGAGATGGGGGTACTGACCTCTGGATATTTTGAAGAATAATTAATAATAATTGTGAAGAAAAGCTCTAATCTCATCACTGGAAGAACTTAGTGTTAAATGTATAGTACTCTTCTTTCATTTTAATTTGCATTTGTGATGAAAGGTAGTTTTGGGATGGTGTTCATCTTTCACTTTGGACATTTTTTTTTGTCAGCTTAGTACTTAGCCATGACTCATGGGGTGTCACCTTCAGTCTCTAAGAATTAGGCCAGGTTTCTTGTAGATCTTGTCACATTGCCACTTGGAATTTAGCTGGAAGAAAGAAAGTAAGGCACAATTTCAGTTGTATAGATGGACATTTCATTCAGAAGGGCTTATTAGAGACAGTGAGGCAGAATAGAATGTTCTCATTCTGTCTGTCATTTGTTTTCTGCCTCTATTCTGAGGATTTTTCACTGTACCATATCTTAGGCAGAGATGACACTGATCATAGAGGTTTCCCTATCCCTAGTTTCTTGGTGGTGCCTAAAATTTCATCATCAAGAAATGAATTTATTTGTGCAGATTGTATTACCCAGGAAAAATGCAGATATCCCTGCAGGGGATTGGAGAGGTAGCACAAACCAACATCTAAACATGAAACATAAAATATTCAGAACTTTTCTGTGATTGCTAGTTGCTACAAGCTTTCTAGTAAATGAGCCAATAATAAATATAGTTTCCTTTGGGGGAAGGAGAAACCTCAGTGGGGTTTTAATAGCTGGTGACTCTGAACAAGCTTGAGGTGCTAAGACCCTGAAAGAGGAAAGGGAAACGAGTACTGAAAAACAAAGAGGAAGGACATTTAAAAGATACACTATTCTGTTCCACAGTTTTCATAGACCTAACCCTGATGGAGTAGTCTCTGAAGTCTATAGAGCATTTAGAGTTAAGAAGTCCATGCTTTGTTAAACCAGGACTTGGTGATAGCCGTCTTTTTAAAGAAGGCTCTTTCCTCTATCTGCACCAAAGTCATACCTTTCACATCGCCTTGCACCTATTATACCTCCAGGTGTACCAGAGATATGTAAGGGTTAGTGGTAAAGTCTATATAGCTATCATTCTCAGCCAGGTTATTCCAATCTTTTGCACGCAGTCACGATGTGAAATTAAGTTAGTGCTATATTTAGGTTGCATTGTTAGGGGGAATAACTTCCAAGGTCAGGCAATTAATTGTGGCCATTGTTCCACGAGAGGCATTTCAGTGTTTCTACTAGATCCTGTGTTTTGTGAAGCTTCATTGTTTTGCCATCTTGGTGACATGTGTGCTTATGGAATTGATGTTTTGCTGAGTGTGTTAGTGTCAACATCTCTGAAATACTGGTGGCAGACTTTTTTCCACCCCATTGAGAAAAGAATTCTTTTTCAGTTTCTATGACCAGTTAAAAGAAGATGGATGCACAGAGTTCAGCCAAAGTCAATGCAAGGAAGAGGAGGAAAGAGGCACCCGGACCCAATGGGGCAACAGAGGAAGATGGAATTCCTTCAAAAGTGCAATGCTGTGCAGTTGTAAGCATAGAAGGGATTTCTTTGTTGAACACTTAACCTAACGGGAGGGTAGAAACTGATATAACATTGATGATTTCAGTGTTACAAGTCTCCTTAAATAATGGAAACAATGAATAGCAGGTGTGAATCATGAGTATATTTTCAAAGTTGTTGGAAATCTTATGCTTTCTCACCAGATTATGACTCACAGCTCAGTTGTAGTTTTACATTGGAATTGGAAGAAGAATGTTAGGAAAATTTGGAGGTTGTTTATATATCAGGCTAAAGATCAAATTCAAACTACAGTCTGCTCACCATATCCACAGGTTCGGCATCCATGGATTTAACTAACTGAGGATCGAAAATATTCAGACCAAAAAAAAAGACAATAAAAAAAATACAAATTTAAAAATACATTATAACAATTATTTATACAGCATTTACATTGTATTAGGTATTATAAGTAATCTAACAATGATTTGAAGTATAGGGGAGGATGTATGTAGGTAATATGCAAATACTATGCCATTTTATATATGGGACTTGAGCATCAGTAGATTTGGGTATCCACGGGGGGTGCTGGAACCAATCCTCTGTGGATACCGAGGGACAACTGTAATAAAATAGAGAAATTGGGGCTCCAGGCAGTGATTTGATCTTGGTATCATCTTATGGTGTCTAGTGTTCTGTGTCTTACTGCTTTTTCTCTCTGTATCATTCCTTCACTCTGTTACTGGTTGTATTTTAGATGAGAACCTTTTTCCATTACTGCCTATCTTTATCTCTGGGACATTATCTCTGTACTTCCTAACTACTACCAAGCCTTAGATGAAAGATGCCATTCCAAACTGTCTATCCTGTCTCAGCTTGGTACCCTTCTTAAAGCTTCCCCTAAAAACATGATAAAGAACACCTATTCACAACTGAAGTTACCGTTGATACACAAGATTATTATGAAATCCATCTTTCAAAATCCCAGTGACCGAATTGTATGTTTCTGTGTTTTCTTTAAGTATATTGACCGTTTGTCATTAATCAAACTGCAGTTTCCACTGGTTAGTTCTGGAGCTTCCTAGGCCAAAGGGAAAAACATTTCTACTCTGAGACAATTAACAGTTGTTCCAAACCAATACTCTATCTTGAACAATAAAAGCAACTGGACTCTACAAATAGGAGGGGCAAGTATATTGTTTCCTATTGCTGTTGTAACAAATTACCACAACTTTAGTGGCTTAAAATAGCAAAAATATATTGTCTTACAGTTCTGGAGGTCAGAAATCTGAAATGGGTCTCAGAGGGCTAAAATTAAGGTGTTAGCAGGGCTGGAGGCTCTAGGGGATAACCCATTTCCTTGCTCTTCCAGCTTCTAGAGGCTGCCCACATTGCTTAACTCATGGTGCCAGTGATGGCATCACTCTGATCACTGCTTCTGTCATCACATCTCCTTCTCTGAGTCTGACTCTCTTATCTCTCCTTTTCACTTATAAGGACTCTTGTGATTAGACTCGGCACACCCAGATAAACCAGGATAATCTTCCTGTCTCAAAATCCTTAATTTAATCACATCTACAAAGACCCTTTTGCCATATAAGGTAACATTAGTCACAAGTTCCAGGGAATAGAATGTGGACTTCTTTAGGGATCGTTATTCTCTGTACCATAGCAAGTAAGCTCAAAAAATGATTTAGCAGTCAACAAAACAGGGCATTAATAATTTTTGAATGTTTCTTAGCTAATTCAGATTAAAGAGATGGTGGTGGGCACCAATTCAGCAATATCACCTGGAGTAGAGACAGATTATAACCAAATAGGTAAAACTGTTGGCCAATCACCATAGCTGGGAATAGAGCAAAGGAGGCCAGTCTTTTTAGTGGAATGAGTTCTGAGAAGACTTAAATTTCTTGGTCATTAGAATCTGAGGAATCTTAATGCTTTAAATTACTTTTCTTTATATATTCATGTAAGATCAGTTTAGTGACCTGCTACCTATTCCACATTCCTCCCTGGTACATACTGCCTATTTAGAATGGGCTAATAGTCAAAGGCTCAGTCACCCAACAGGCTGGACCAACCCTAGTAAGGAGTGTCTGCTAAATAAACTTATACATTATCTCCAGTGTATACCTGTACTTTCTCTGAATCCCCTTTGAACTTTGTAGCAAAAGCAAACAAGATTTTTTTAAATAACAGCTTTATTGAGATGTAATTGACATATAGTCCACCCATTTATACTGTACAACTCATTGGTTTTTATTATATCACAGAGTTGTGCAACCATTACCATAATCAACTTCAGAATGTATTTGTCCCCCCCCAAAAAAGCACTGTACTCATTAGCAATCACCCTCCATTTTCCCCCAACTTCCCCAGCCCCTGGAAACCACTAATCTACAGAATTTGTCTAATCTGGACATTAAATACAAATGGCATTATACAATATGTGATCTTTTGTGGCTGGCTTCTTTGAGCATTTTTCCAAGATTTATCCATGTTGTAGTATGTATCAGTACTTTATTTCTTTTTATTGCCAAGTAATATTCCATTATATATTGCATACCACATTTTATTTATTCATGCACCAATTGACATTTGGGTTCCAAGATTTATCCATGTTGTAGTATGTATCAGTACTTTATTTCTTTTTATTGCCAAGTAACATTCCATTATATATTGCATACCACATTTTATTTATTCATGCACCAATTGACATTTGGATTGAGTAAACAAGATTTTATTGCATACTTACAACATGCCAGCATGGCAGTAAGTGCGAGGGATGTGAAGATAAACAAGACCTTCCCTTTGAACGGTGCGAGCATAGTGAAGAGTTCCATAGCTCAGAGCTCTCTAGCTTTAAAAAAGTGTTTTCCTTGCAGGTGGGGAAAGGAACAGGAAGGACCACCATGTATTAGGTAGCTGGGTTTGTGGGTCAGGATGAAAAGCATAGAAGAGAGAAGAGAGTTAAGGAGGAAAAACTAAGGAATAACTTTATGGCTATTGTCTATAAGTATAAAGAATGTACTGATACAGATGTTTCTAAAGGTACAATCAAAAGGATCACAAAAATATTTACAAAAAGTAAGACATTTAGCCTGTCTGAGTATTTATCATATGTAAGAATGAGTCACAAGTACTTAAACTGTGGAGAAAGTTGGCCACAGTTCTGCTTATGGCTAAGTAGATCTCACAGTTGCATTTCATCCAACATATATTGAAAACCTCTATGTGCCAGTTGTTATGCATTAGAGATGCAAAGAAGAAGAGTGATCTTGCTTGTAAGAAGCTCACAGACAAATAAGGGAAAGAGACAGCAACAAATATCTGCGGCACAGTATGAAAAGTGCCACATAGAAGGTTAAAGTGCAATAGCTGTCTAGAGCAAGAGATTGACTTTGGCCAAGGGGTGGGGGCATTGGTTTTGGAAAAGCTCATCAAGAAGATTGCTTCTGAGCTGAACTTTGAAAAATAACTAGGAATTTGGGAATTGGACAAGAGATAGAGTACAAGATCAGTAGTGTGAAATAAATAGTATGTTTAGCAGACTTAAAGTAATATTGCTGGAGCTTAAAGTTCAGAATAAGGATCTGCAATAGATGAGGTAAGCAAGGGCCTGATCATGAAGGATCTTTTATGCTGTGCTAAGGAGTTTGAACTTTATCCTATAGGTAATGTGGTCAGATTTACAACTGAGGAAGATCATCCTGACTACTCTGGAAAGGATGGATTAAAACAGGGATAGATAGAAGCTAGAAAGACTAGTGAGATTGTTGTAATGATCCAGGTTGGAGATGATGAGGGCTTAAACTATGATAGTAGATACAGAGAGTATGAGATAAATTTTAAGTTTTTAAGAGATGAAATAGACAATTCTTGGAGATTATTGGGATGCAGACAATAAGAATTGTTAAGGATGACTCCTAAGCTTCAGTCTTAGGTAGATTGTGTACAAGGAGTGCTTCTCACTTAGAAAAGAAATACAGGAGGAAGACAGAGTTTAATTTAGTACAGGTTCAGTTTAGAAGGCCAATGAGACATCCAAATAGTAATTGGATAGATGCATTCATTGTTCACATTCATTGAAATGGCAATAGGAGTCAGAAAGAATTATTACTTTTTTTTTTTTCTTTCTTTTTTTAACAGATCCCCAGGGGGTGGAATCTTTCTGCTCTGTTCCTATCCCTTTTTTCTTGCACCACATGTTAGTCCTTTTGACTCTATAGACTTTCCCCGGGCATGACTGAAATAATTGGGATCCCAGGAGGATCTGTTACCATTTGTGTGGAATGTTTGGGTGAAAGGGAACTGTTTCTCTATGACATTCAGGAACTTTTTGCTGAAACGTGTTTAAGAATTCTCAGAGAGTAGAAAGAATACTGAAAGCGAATATCAAGTGCTAGTTTCATATTATTTGAGTTATTTCAATTTCCCTATTAGTATGGACGTCAGAATCTCTTCTCTTTCACTGGAATTTTGAGGAATAGTGAGTTTATGTGTGAACATAATCAGGAAAAAGTTGTAATGGAAGCAATATTGCATCCAGAGATAGTTCATAATTTGGGAGGGTTGATTGTCATCGTTATAATTTTTAGATTTATAGATTTCGAAACTTTATATAGGCACGTAGAAACTAACCTCTTAGATTAATATAATTTAGTTAATTTTGTTAACATGCTGAAACCTGTGTTCCATAGAAGAGGAAATGAGCTAACATTGCTGAAGATGAACTAAATTTGTTGAGTTCCTATTACATGTGAAACATTTTGTTAATTTCTTTGCAGATGCTGTTTTACTTAATCCTCATAGTAAACCTGTGGGGCAGGTATTATTATCTTCTATTTTGCAGAAGATGAAACAAAAGCTTTAGAAGCTTGCTGTGATTTCACACCTGTTAAGTGATAGAGCTGAGATATAGATCTGAGTTGTTCAAGTCCTAAACCCATGCCCTTTTATTTATACTTCACTACCAGATAGTCAAAAGACTTGAAAGCAATACTATAGGATTCCCTTGAGGTTAAAATTAA